AATCAAACATGAGAACGATAGACAAAGCGAAAAATAGAACGAAAAAAATCACACCAAAAAGAAACACAGATTTACGTAGTTCGACAAATTGCCTACGTCCACGGAGTTGCAGAGGATTTTACTAATTGAAGAATTTACATCAGTCGATTACCACGACTTACAAGAGGAATCTCTCACTTCGTTGTTCTCTCTTTTTCTCTCTCTACACCGAGATACACCGAAAAAACTCTACACAGAGATACACTGAAGAAGATAAACTTACAAGAGAAATAAACCCAACTTCTCTTCTGCCACAAGCCACCAAGAAGAAGCCTAGGGAAAACAATCTTCTTCTTCTTCCTTCTTCCTTCTTCCTTCTTCCTTCTGCCGCAAGGAACTACCTCTTGCACTTCTCTTTCTCTGCCCCAAGGAAACCAAAGAACTCAAACCGTGACTTCTAAACTAAAGGAGAGCCGCCTGAAGCCTTTTACTACAAACAGGAGGGAGCGAAAGGATGCTACGCTTCACAACATAGAAAGACATGAGCGTTTGGCGCGCGACTAAAGAGGCGGGAGGCCCGAACGAGAGATCACGACCTTTCGCAATCGAAAGAGCGGGAGCGGGAGTTGGCATTTTGCGAAACGAGAGACGGGACTGGATCGGGCTCCAGCGCTAACATAAATGAGTCGAGCTTAAGCGAGCTCAGACTTGGCTCGTGTTTAGATCCTTCAAAATTGCCCGTGTTCACAATCAGCTCGTGCACAGTGTATTCATGTTCGACACGATTTAGATATTTTTATTCTTGCTTGGCCGGTGTTCGGCTTGATATTGACTCGTTAAAGAGAAGACACATAACCACATTACCATACGAGCTGTTATGATTTCAACTTATATATAAATATATATAATATATTTTATATAAAAACTATATATAATATATTATTATATAAATAATTATATGATTTTTTTATTTCAAGCTAAAACAAGCCGAACACGAGCGAACAAAGAGCTGTTTGTGTTCGACTTTCGATAATTCAAGCTTAAAAAATTTGCTTGTGTTCGATTTTTTTACTTAAAGAACGTGTCAAACAAGAGCTATTTAATTAGCCAAACACGAGCTGTTCGCGAACGATCATTTTTGACAGTCCTAGTTGCCTCTTTAGATGATGGTCATTTTAGATGACTAGGGAACCTAACTACATTCAACTTTCAAGCTCAAATTCTAAGAAAATAAGCCACACTCACAAGTTAAAAATAATATAACCACAATAACAAAAACACAATATTCAGAACTGAAAACTTGAAGTCATCACTTTTTGCTTCAAAAGTCAACAATACAAAATTACTTAGGGTCTATTTAGGGCAGCTGTTGATTATTTATAATCTGCAGATAAGCAGATTATTCTGATAATCTGCAGATTATCAGAATAAGCTAGCTGTTTGTTTGGTGCAGCTTATTCAAAACAGCTTACTGGGAGTTGTTGTTGGATAAATGATCATTCTGCCCCTATTTGGTTAAACTATTTGCAACAGAACTGTTTATGAAAAATAATAGATAAAACATATGACTCAAAATATTACGGTTCAATTACATAAAATTAAAATACATTGCTCACCACTTCGTAAGTATCAAATACAAATAAAATAAGAAGAAATACAATAAACTGCTCAACACAAATGAAGTATAAATGAAACATAAAATTGTTGAAAAAAAAATAAGAACACAAAAGAATTATGTGGTTCGGTCAAAGGCCTACATCCACAGTAAGACATCGAATATGTTTTATTATGCATTTGTCTAAGGTTACATAGATTTGAATCTCAACGGAGAACACTACAACATTCTCTGAACTTCCTCTATACAATCAATTTTTCATATGTTTCCTCCCTTCACATATGTACCTCAACTAAACAGAAGTTGCATCACATGAACTGCAGCAAATTCCATCACAGAAATTGCAGCTAATTGCATTACCAATATAACTTGCAGCAAATTCCATCAAAAAAACTGCAGCTAAACAGAAATGACCCAGCAAAAACTTCACCAAATCATGAAGCTTTGAAAACCATGAAATGCTATTATTGAACTTCTCAAATTGGCAACCTTATTAATAAAATGAAGCTTTGAAAACCATGAACCCAATGCAAACTTCTGCATCAAATACATAAAACCAAAAGCTGCGGATCAAGCTACTTGGGCAAATACATGAACCATGAATTGCACCAAATTCAGATCAAACTGCAGCAAATAGAGAAACCATGAACTGCAGCTAATGGAGAAAGCATCTGTTACAACCAAAGGGTGGAGGAAATGCAATTTTCAATTGTAACATAAAGAAAAGAAATGGATATCTATAACTAGCATTTTTCAATCCATGAAAATCTCCACCAATTAAAGTTTGTTAAAGAAGAGAAACACTTAAAACACTGTAAGGAGTCATCAAAACCGACCCTTAAAAGAAACATGACTTCTAAACCCATCAAGATTATTTTAATAACTACAAAAAGAGAACAACCACGAGACACAGTGGAACCATGATACAAGGGTTTTTGCTTGACATTTTTCAAAACGCCGCCGCAGCCTAACGCCGCAGCCTAATAATAACTACTAATAATAACTACCAATTTTCCATTCATCTTCTTTGGATAACCAAAAGAATGGAGCCATGCATTTATTGTAAATGTTTTATATTAATACCAAGTAAAAAGGAGCCATGCATTTATGACCAATTGTTGTTAACACAAAGTAAATGTCTTATAATAATAATCATACTTGAGATTCCCCAAAGAAAGAATTCTAGAGAAGCAACTGAGAAGCAACTGAAATTAGACCCAAAGAAATTTAGAGACTCAGCTAATCAAATTCATTAAACACATCACACAAAATTAGACCCAACTGAAATTAGAACCAGCTTAGATCTATGCCTCCCACACAATGAAATTAGAACCAGCTGAGATCTAGAGACCCAGTATTGATAATCAAATTTGTTGAACGGTGCTTTTTTCATGAAATGAGCTCTGTTGAAGCATCAACAATACCATGAAAGCAATAAAACGATTGATTTGAACCAACACAACAAGTCGTTTTAGCCACAGGCATTCCACCATGAACTCTCGGTGTCAGCACGTGAATGCATAAGAAACAAGGGGTAACTTCATAACCCAAATACCACAAAATTCCTATGTACTAACCTACATTAATATGCATTTGAATAAATTTGTTTGCATATCAACACAAATAGATCCAGGACAGTTCCTATGTTTCCCGGCTTTATTAGAAAGAAAGTGCAACACTACCCAATTCATTCCAAGATAATCCAACAAAATCATCAACAAGAAAACCCTACTTTTATATCAATTGAAATTTGCCAAAATTTGGGATAGAAAAAATAGATCAGACGATAAATACTCGAAAAACTTGCATATCCTCGCCGGAGTAAACAGATCTCACCGGAGCTTACAAGTGATTCAATCTACGCGAGGGTGAAGATCGGGGAGGGAGACAGCGAGAGAGAGGGCGATGGAGAGTTGAGAAGGTCACAGAAGGAAATATTTCCCTAAACGCTAATCGTGGACGCAGGACGCAGGGTCTAGGGAGCGTCGAAAGACCCTTAACAAATACTAATGCGCGTACCGGAGCGTCACCAGAACGCAATGCGAATGGAGTTTCCAAACACATCGGTGGCGCTTTCAAAACGCCACAGCAGCCTAATAAGCTGCCCCAAATAGGGCCTTAATTGCAAAAGAAATTAAAAAAAGTGAGGCATGGTAAACAGGTTGGTAAATGTATAAAAGTTTACATGAGGCAGTAAAACACATGCCATAGGGCTTAATGCTCTGTCTATCAGCTGTTCAGTTTAAATTCACTTGTTTTCTACTTGCCAATACTTCTTTGTGCCTCTCGACACTCCAAAACAAAGATAAAACAAAAAATACCGAAACAAATTAGTGATTCATTCGAATTAAGTATTACATATGTGACTGGGGCAGATCAGATGATCTCAAACAATCATGATAAAAAGTCGCCAAAAAATCACTGTGGTTCAAACTTCAAACCACCATATGGCCCAATAAAGACAACAAACTAGACCCTGAATACAAACATAAACACTCATACACGTGGTTGAATTTATCCTAGGTTAACTCATCCACTCATACATAATGTATGTCCGTGTAATAAAAAAGTAGTATTCCATATAATGTGAAAGTATTGAAATAAATTAAAAAAAGCTACGGTAAGATTGTAAAATTGATAGAAAGTTAGTGCACACATTGAAGATATTGAGATAAAATAAAGCATAAACAATGCATGAATCTCACAAGAATATGACATCCTATTAAGCCCATTAGCAAATGAATGTGTGCGGAAGGGGATATGTTTATATTTCTATAAACAAATAGATTAGTAAGTTTTACAAAAATATAAAAAAATAAGCAGGTATAGTAGTCACATGTTCTTTTTATTTCTCAAGTTCATCACAAGTTACCCTTTACCGGCCTTTAGCACGAAATCAAAGTTTTTTTTTTTCGTGAAAAGTTCACTCTGCTTTAAGCGGGTGTTTGGCAGCAACTTTTAATATGGATTATTACTGAATTTATTAAATCCAATCAAACGATGAAATGCAGGAGTTCTGTGGATTTGTGAATTTTCAAATTTAAGGTCCCAAATTTGTCTTCAATATGGCTTAAATCCGGATTTACTAAATCCAAAAGTAGGATGGATTTAACGGATATATGATATATCGGTTTACTAAATCCTAAGAACGCTAAATCCTACTTGCAGCCAAACACCCCCCATAATAATGTAAAGCATGATAATATCCAAAGATGCAAAAATGAAAATTATAAACATAAATAATTAAATAAATATATACATATCTATATAGTTCGAAAGTATAATATAGCCAAAATAACATAGCAAACAAAACTAAAGAGTACAAAAACGTAAAAGAACTAAGATGCAAAATGATTTAATAAACAAAAAATTACACAAAGTATAATATTTCATGTTATCATAGTACCAGAATGAACAAAATTGTCCCAAATCTCCAATGCTCGATCTGCAAAAGCAAAAAGAAAAAAAAAACTAAACATTAAATTTCCCACGACATCAATAACATATATAAGCATGATTTAATAAGTCTTGATGCGTGCTAGAAAATTCACGACAGTAAAGTAATGGATTATTGTCATAGCATTGCACGAGAATTCAGTAGACACTCAGTTTGGCGTCGTCTATGGGAAATAGAGCATTCCCATCACTAAAATACTTGTAAGAATTGTTGCATGGCCACCAAGCGCAACACTTGTAAAAACAGAGCATCCCGCTCCAACACCCATCATTCCAGAAGACAGTCACGAAGCCAAGGTCATCAAGCCTCTGCATCCTCCTACTCCAAAATACATTACCCCTCTAACAAGGTGTCTTGGGTCATTCTCTGGAAGATAGAGTACGTAGAATGATGGAGTCTCAACATGAGATTCTTCATCTCCTACGCAGGGAGAGACAAACGCAACCCAAAAGAGCTCACTTACCACCAGTTCAGCATTCAACAGAAAATACCCCACTCACTGATTCTCTCCTAATGATGAAACCATTACTCTACTGCCGTGAATTTTCTAGCACACATCAAGTCTAATTTGGGTTGATATGAGTATATATAATAAGATGTCATCCAATCATTCAAATCCTTGAATCCCAACAAAACAGTTTGTTTGGATTTAAATGGGCATAACATCAATCATATCAAACAGTTTTCAAAATTTAGGCTTTTTTTGAGAAGGTTGTGACTCTTCGTTCTATATCAGTGAATGTCGACCCATGAAAAAGCTTTTTTTTTGGTGAAGCAGCATCACACAAAATTGTTTCGCAAGAACAACAATTTTTCAACATTTTAAATAACAGCCAGCCATCTCCGTTCTGCAGACGTGGCATTTAAAGAAACTTCGTTGAACGGCGAAGCTACTTCAAACAAATCCTTAATCCACATAATAAGTCCGGAGTTACAGGATTTACTAAATTCTACTTGCAGCCAAAAAAACAAAAAAAAAAAAAAACCCTCAGAGTTGCGATAATTCCATGGCGCAAACACGGCTAAGGAAGAAACAAGCCAACAGAATAGAACACTCCAAACAAAAACTAGACATGTACAAGTTATCAGCTATCTCCCTCAGCCAGCTAGGAAGCCCTACTACGCCATTGATTAAATCAGCTTGCAGCAGTTCACAAATGCGAATGTCCATAAAAACGTCACAGACAAAAGACAAAATTAAAAATAAAAAACATCAACAGGCACCTCCAAAATAAAACAAGAAATTCCTCCACATTCATCCAAAAACACCAAAATCTGAATGAAACAAACAAAAACATTGCAAGAACAGGGCAGATCAAACAACGTCACCCGCAATCAGATCAAATTGCAGAAACCCTAATCCGATTCAATACTGAAGAAAAAAACAAACTGGGTGAAAAAAAAGAAACTCATACCGATCAATTCGTGGAATAAACGCTGATGTCAATCAACTCTTCTTTCCCTTCTCAATCACAATGCACCCAACTTCTCTCCATTGTTACTTGACAGGTAAAAGCGGAGAAATGCTTCCGAGGTGCAGCGTAGGTGAACTAAAAGCAAAAATCGGACCGATTTTTTTTTAAGCTAAATTCCACGCGTTTATTACATTATTTACACCAATCGCAAAGCACAACGTACGGCGATCTAACACTCCACCATGGGAAATTTTCTCTCAATAATTTCAAAACTACAGAATAATTTACGGGATCTTATCAGGCGATTTCAGAGGAGATTAGTGTTAATCATACAGTCATTAATTACGAAATAGCATTAATGAGAGTTGTTGGCAGGGGCATGCGTACGGCTACACGTGGCAGGCTTGCATGTTGAATGTCTGTAGTAAATAACTTCCTTGCCCTTGCTAATGAAACATTAATTATTTGTTAAGCACGTAATAATAGAAATTAAGGGTTTAATTAATTTTTAATTTTTTCGTATGACAACTGATAAGAGACAAAAATATTGTTATATTCAAAACATATTATTCTTGTTTATTAAAGAGGAAGGCTGTGAAGACAGTTGCCAGTCATGCATGGTGGCAATGGGGTTCACTATAGTAATTTATTTTTAAAATGTTTAAAATATTTAAAAATTGTTTTAATATTTTAAAATAAATTTACTTTATCAATATTATTTACCAATATAATTTTTTTTCTAATTATCATATATCAATAAATCCAAAAGCAAAATAAAAAGCTAGCATGAGGGCTCATTTGATTGCTTGTGGATAAAAAATAATATTATTCCGAAACTGATATGTGAAAACTAAGGGTCCGTTTGGGGAAGCTTATAAGTGCGGAGGCGTTTTTGAAAACGCCGCAGTACCGTTTGGATCGCGTGTTTTGCCCGCATATCTGAAAACGCAATCGACCCGCTGGACTCGTTTCAGGATAAATTGTCAAGCTGCCCCAAACACATCCTAAATAATATGATATAAAATAATTTTAAGGGGTTTTAAAGCCCCCAACAACAAAATAATAAGATGTTGCAAATTGCTTCATATTTCACACAATCAAATGTCCCCCGGATGATTCATGCTACAATTTAAAAGAAAAGCAGGGATTAATTATCATAATCACATTTTATATAATATCAACTTTATTATTAAAACAGATATATATATATAGCATC